ATATATATATATATATATATATATATATATATATATATATATATATATATATATATATATATATATATATATGTTTTTTTGTTTAAGGCTTTAAACAAAGAATTAAAGTGCAATTTGTTATTGACATTGGATTACGCAAAAATATAACAAGAATTAAAAAAACAAAAGGGTCTAGTTATAAAATTTTTTATATATTTCTGCATACTTAACTTATGTTAAAGTTTAGGCTATAAACACACTTTAATTATTACTGTAAGGTAGGATGAAATGTAAGGGATGTGCACTGATTTTAAGCCTCTTGAGTCAACATTTTAAAAACATCTTTTTGTTTCACTTTCTGCTACAAGTCTTCTTTGGTATGTCAAAATGTTTTCTGTGTTCAGAGTGAATGGATAGCAGCTTTGATTAACGGTTTTTAAGTTGTACCAGAATCAAACTTCAGTCTGCATTGTGATTGGTCCACACATGAATAAACTAGGATCTACAAAATCCATTTTGATCTTTTCATGTTGGTTTTGCTGCTAAAAGGTTAACCTTTACTTTAGACATTTAACTTTTGACATTTTAATTCCTTTCTTGTGCATTTTAATTCCAGTATTCTGTACTCGACTCCATCCATCCTTCCATCACATTTGCCCATTTCAATAGAATGACAGAGAAGCATTTATATATATATATATATATATATATATATATATATATATATATATATATATATATTGTGAATGAAAGTATTTCCCTTTTACTTCAAGAATCTATGCTACTATACATAGTTTTATCACAAATAGTTGCAGGTGTTTGCATACCATATTAGTTTAACATTTACAGACATTTACATTGTAGGGAACCAAGCAAAGGTTTCAAAAAATTCTCAGTTTTGCATGTTAAGAATGTGTTTTGTTGTCATTGTTCTTAATATTTTTTTTTTGTTGGAAAACAGCTTCTGAATAAACATATTATCTTTTAAAACTGCTTGTTTCTTTAGATGTCAAAGACATGAAACAATTAGAATGTGCTCATCTGTGTTTCTCTGTTTTTTTTTTATCAGATCGAAATGTTAGAGCACAAATACGGCGGCCACCTCATCTCGCGTCGTGCTGCCTGCAAGATCCAGACTGCCTTCCGCCAGTACCAGCTCAGCAAAAATTTTGAGAAAATCCGCAACTCTCTCCTGGAGAGCCGGCTTCCACGGCGCATCTCTCTGCAGAAAGTCCGCGTGCAAAACACCGAGGGTTTCTCTGCTGAACGGGCCCTGGCAGAAGGCTGCAACTTGGCAGGTATTCCACTGGTGCGTTCGCCATCTCTGCCAGCCTCAGTTGGCAGCACCTTGACCGACCTGGAGGACTCTTTCACGGAACAGGTCCAGTCACTTGCAAAGTCCATTGATGATGCACTTAGCAACTGGAGCCTGAAGACCATGTGTTCACTACAAGAAGGTGGTGCCTATCAATTCAGTGCTGACTCCTTTAATGCAGCAACTGCTGCCTCTTCAGGTGTAGGAGCAAGTGGTGAAGGGGCCTGTGTGTCGCAAGCAACAGTTCATCAAGGACCGGTTGATCCAAGTGACTTGTCCAGAAGTGCAAGTAAACTGATGATGGCCTTTCGTGATGTAACAGTGCAAATCGACAGCCAGAACTTCAGAGTTTCATCCTCAGTCATGGAATCATCTTCAGTTACTCTGGGCAGCTGCATCCAGCAGCAAGGGGTCTCCACCACTGTAACAACCACTTCTTCATTAACAGACTCCACACCAGCCCCTGTCATAGATGAACCATCAGAGGAACCTCCACCTCCTGAGGTCCCCACAGAACCAATAGATGCTCCACCACCACCTCAAGAGCCCCCACCACCCCCTATAGAGACAGACATAGAAGAAAGTGGGGAAGCTGAATTTCCTGCCCCCCCTCCTAGTGAAGAGGAGTTTCCTGATAATACCCAACCTCCCATCACTCCACTAGATAGGATGTCTACCATTCAAAGCATACAGGAAGTAGCTCCGCCACCTCCACCCCCGCCTCCACCAACAGAGTCCACTCATGTCCCTCCACCACAGGAAACTATGCTGCTAAGAAGCTCTCCAGTGGCGGAGCCCCTGGATGTCAAGAGATGTGGCTCAGAGATGGCAGACAATAGCTCAGAGCAGATGAGCAGCAGCAGCACGTCAACAGAGGCGCGCTCGACATCTGAGGCCTCATCCAAAGAGGCGCTTCAAGCCATGATCCTCAGCCTTCCACGTTACCACTGTGAGAATCCAGCTAGCTGTAAATCTCCTACGCTGTCCACTGACGTCATGCGAAAACGCCTGTACCGGATTGGCCTCAACCTCTTCAATCTGTGAGTAATACTGACAATATGGAATGCTTGCATTTTAAAAGAGTTGTTATTGAAGTTCAAGGCCAACTGCAAGTGGGGATGAAAAGAATAATTACTGGTAGGAAAAGGAAAATATTTGTTAGAAATAAATGGGTTTTATTTAAGGCTTACAAAAGTTAAAATAATCTTGCATGCATTTTTTATGTTATTTAGCAACAGGCAAATAGTGTGCTTTAAAGTGTCATAATCTTCCTCGAACTTTTCAAAAATTTTCCTTGCAGCACCTTCAAATTTCCCTGCACTTGAAATGGAGATTATGATAGACTACTATAAAAAGATGCAAATAACTGTTAAGTGGAAGAAAAATCATAAACAATCAGACTCTGAGAATTACATCTAACTGCAGTTACCGTAGAAAGTATACTGGGCTGGTCTTCAACAGCCTTGCACTTTAAAATCTTTAATTTTCAGTTCATTTTTTGCCATAAATATGCTTCAATTCCTTGTAGCTTCTGGTAGCCTGACTTTCACCATACGCTCAAATCTTTTGCAAACTCTAATATGATTTATATCAGATTTACTATATTTAACCAGATGCATTTTCCTAACTCTGACCAAATCTTTGTTGTGAGGGATTGGTGAAGAGTTAATGAGTCGGTGCTACAGTAACAGCCGGTTAACTTGGATAGAAAACTTGGAACCGGTCTGACTGATCTGGTTGAATAGTCTCTGTAAATTGCTTTGAAACAAAACAGCCATATTGATATATTGGTCCCACCATCATATCTGTATGTATTTAGGGTAATGAGCAGTTATAAACTACTCTCAATTTTTTAACCATCTTCACAAGTATGATGCAAAAGTTTTTTTAATCGCTGTTATGCAGCTATATGTCAAGATACATTAGTGTTCTGTTGTGTCACCATCTTGTGTGTCTGTCTTTGTTTTGTTCTTTTTTTATTTCAAGTTATAATTTTATAAATTTTTCAGATTAACTGATCAGACAGTTAGGTGCCTTCTCTTTAAGCAATAATGTTGTGTAACATTACCCCAATGTTATACAACATTAAGCAATATTTATGTTAGATCACCTCTTAGACATACAGTATTGGTTGGTTTTGAAATTTTTTAAAGTTTGTATTGGCACAGAGAAAATCTCCCAAAAATATTTTGAAGTTATTGGCCAGATCATAAAACTATGAAAAAAGGGAAACTTTCTTCTATGGGATCATCAGCAAAAACATTAATATTGCTCAAGCCTTATTTGCTGGATTTGTCAGGCTTTATAACTCTCTCGTAAATGAAGGATCTTAACTCCATTTTACCAGGGACTGCAATGAAAAACCCTAAAGATCAATTAGCTACCAAATCAAGTCTAGTACATAATCTGTTTCCAACTTGCACCAATTTTGACAACATTTCAGAATTTCACTGAATTTTGTCCCCTGAGTTTTCTCCAGGGGGGGGGGCTATAAAGTCAAAATAGACGTATACTAAAACCTAATCCAACATATACTAAGCTATCACACAAGTATACTTATATGAATGCCAACAACAAAAAACATTATTAAAAAAAACATAATTTCATGTACAGATTTACTTGTGTACATAACTTTTAACCCTCTGAGGCTTTGTGAAAGTAAATCTGTGTGAGTCCAATATGGTATCACAGACCTAAAAAAAAAAAACCGAAAAAAAAAAAACACTTTAATAATGGAGAAGCTATTAGTCATCTTTATACTTTTTTAATATAGAAAAACTATTTATTTTCTGAGAATTTATTTATTTAAGAGTTTATTTTGGTTGTAAATTAATAAACATCTAGAAAAAGTACATTATATTATATAATTTTCCATGTGAATCCTAGGTTGTTCTTAGGTTGTGTGAAAGCTGCTCTTCAAGTTCAACTGTCGTCGTCCCCATAATCTTTACCTCACTGCCTGACCGACTACTATCTAGATCACTTACATCACTGTAGCAGGGGCAAAAATTCCAGGAGCCCCAATGCCATTAATTTTGCGTTGCTGATTTCGCTACACTTCAGGGGCGCTTTGAATGAGCGCCCAAGAAGAGAAATTATACGTTCTGTCAGTGGAAATGCACTGTTGAATGAGAGTCAGTTGGTAGAAGTGCTGTTTTAATTAATCATATTACATGTAGCCACATACTGTTAAGTAAAACTGACATTGATGCATTTTTTAAGATTTATATATATTATGACTTTTCCCCTCCACACACAGGGAGGGCAGCACCTAAGCGCCTCCTATGGGCCAGCCGCCACTGCTGAACATTGTTAGTTAAGTTTCCTTTCCTTTCATTCTCTTATTAATCATTTTATCATTTGTCTCAGATTATAATCCTATTTTTAAAAAATTATTTATTCTCTTTATTTATCCAGGTTAATTCATTTGATTACCTATATGTCATTGCATTATGTTTTCTTTTTCCTTTATTCGTGCACAACACTTTGAATTACCTTGCCAAGGGAAATGGGGTATTTAAATAAACTTGCCTTCCCTTAAATATTTTGGGCACAGTTACCAAGGATGTTTATTGGCTTTTCTTGTTCATTATTGGTTCTAGTATTTTTCTTTGAATTCCATTTAAGTTTAAAAGAAAGAGTTAAAAATGTCAGCAGATTGATTAAAGATACAAAACCATGTGAACAGAGAGATGTATGGACCCATCCGTTACTCCTCTCCTGTTCTATGTGTATCTGAACTTTAATAAGGCCCTGTGGACAGAAAAGAGGTTTTCTCAGATTATTCCTATTCTACAGAAAAAGCCAACAAACTCTGCCAGATGTAAAGTGGGCAATTATGAGACAGAAGAGTGTGGAAAGTTTTACATATTAGTAGAAAATAAAAATAGAAAAGGAAATAGGTTTAAGCAGCAGGCTCATGTTAGACTAGATGGAGATAATATCATCGGGGTGCATCAGGCAGACACATACAAGTCTTATCTTCTGTACTGTAGTCATTGCTGCTACAGATGTAAAGCATTAAATCTTTCACACCACATACTGTTTTAAATGGATTGCAGTGATGCTGCCAGAAAGTAGATTCCAAGTTTAGATAAGAAACCCTCTAAGAAAGAAGATAAGAAAAATATTGCTAGTGGTATCTTGGCAATTAATGCTTTGACGGCTCTAGACAGTTTGAACCTAAAATGGGTGCAAAGGGGGCCACATTACAGGAGCTAGATGTTCACAGGTGTTTGAATATCACATATTTAAAGGTTTTACACCATATTTACTGTTTCAGTGGTGTAAATGAAAAAAAGCATGAGACTTGATTCATATAATTTTTTTTACTAAGATTTGCTTTAATCAGAATTGCATGATCTGGTCCCTTACCTGAATGCACCTGGAAACAAATGTCTTCCAGACAATTAGGTATGTATTAAAAAAAATTATTAATGTATTACCAAAAAATTTATTTTTATACTTTATTAATTTTTAACTAGTGAATAAGCAAAAGTAGATGGAGACATCTAACTTTATTTAAAAAGTGCTACAGTAACTTTCAAAAGCTTCAAAAACAGCTCTGTAAATGTAAACACAATCCAACTTTCCTTTAAAAAAGAAAAGACTTGTAGACACTTGTTTACATTTAGATTGAGTTATATAGTGGTTAATGGTGCGGAAATCCAGAAATCCTGAAATAAATATAATTAATGCAACAAAGAATTAAAGCATACTGGCCCCACGAACTGGAATTGCTCACCCCTGCTGGCTAACAGATTCAGTTTCAATTAATTGTTATTACAGAGCGTCAGACGTACTGTACATACACAAGCCCAGAGAAAAGGCCTTAGACCAAAAACATTCTGCATCACATAGGCGTCACTACTCTATATTTTGCTCTTAAACCTTGTTTAATTAGAGTAATAATGACCATAACCACAAAACTGCAGGCTTTGCACACATAAGTGAAAGTGTTTTTAAACACTATGAGTGTGGCTGACAGAAAGCCAAAGACGGTTCAACAAACAGATTCCGGAATTTAGTTTAATCTAGGTTGAGTCACAAGATGCTACGATTCATTGTGCTGAGAGTCCAGTTTCTTTAGCATTCAGATTTGCTTAAGGACACAGTTTTTATGAGATCAGTTTGCATGACTAAACAGCTGTATTACAGCTTTGCAGCTTAATGCAAAGCAAAGTGTGATATGCTGTCTTAAAATACACCACCACCTGACAATAAAGCAGTGGAAGCATGTTTTGTGGAGTGCTAAATTAGTTTTATTGGAAATCTGAGAGGATGAGTCTTTTGTAAGGCTTGGAGTAGGAGGATGGTGCCTAGCTGTGTTTTCAGATGCTGGGCTTACCCTTTTAGTTCATTTAAAAGTAAAATGTAATATGCTGACACATTTTGGACAACTTTATGTTCCCAACTCTTTGTGAAGAATATGGGGGATCCATTTCTGCTCTTGCATGACTGACCACCAATGGACAGTCAAAGGTTTATAAAGACTTAGATAAGTATGTTGAGCATGGATAAGGACTGTTCTGACCTGCAAGGAGTCCTATCCAGAACTTGATAAGACAAATAAGTACATTTTTAAATAACTGTTAATATGTATTTTTTTAATAAATCGAAAATTTATCTGCTCCGTAATTCTTGTTGACAGCTAGGTGTAGGAATAGGCTTTGATTAATTCTTACTGATTTCTGTAATTATTTGAGATTTCTTCTTTTCTATGTACAAATAGTATAGATATTACCCAGTTTATTACAACCTTACTAGTAATAAACTGACTTAGAGGGTAGAAAAAAGATTAGACCAAGGAGAAATTGAAAGGTAAAGAGAAAGAGAGATAGAGATAGAAAGGCAATTGGGCTTAAGGCTTATTAGTTCCACCACTTCATATCCTCCTCCTCTTACCTGCACTGTGATATCCTTTGCATCTTAAACAGCACTGTGTGCTTTGGGCTTAAACTTTAGTATTACTTGATCATGCAGACAGAAAAGCTTACACAGGCACAAAGTAGGGTGGTATTAGTAGTATGTTAAATCTCAA